GTAGCTTTGTATAACCACCACTACAATGAAGATTTTTTGGGGTTTTTTTTTTTGGTACTGGGACTTGACCTTAGGGTCTACACCTTGAGTCACTCCACCAGCCCTTTTTTGTGAAGAGTTTTTTTGAGATAGAGTCTCATGAACTACTTGCCTGGGATGGATTTGAATTGTGATCCTCCTGATCTCTGCCTCCTGAGTAGCTAGGATCACAGGCATGAGCCACTGGTGCCCGGCACTGAAGGTCATTTTTTAAAAGCATTTTATTGGGATATTAACTGCCCAATAACTATTTAACTTCCACCTTCTCCACCAAAGAGGAGGGAATCTTCAATTTAAAGAAAGTAAAATGTAAATTATGAAGAACTTGAAATACAAAGCAAGCAGCAGTCCCAACTAGCAATCTTGAAATAAATCAGATCTGCCAACCGAGACAAATTATATCCTTAGGTATGAAAAGAATTTGCAGATTTCATCACAAGAGGAAAAGTTTCAGATGAACACAGATGGACACATTTTTGTCCCTATTTTCTTTTTTTGTAGTAAAAATAATAATAAAGCTTATTAAGAAAGAAATTTAGTAAAACAGGATAAAAATAAGGAGAAATGGAAAAAAGAAAGAAACATTTCCTGCCCCCAAGCAGGAAAGGGGGTAGAGTCTCCTTGTTTTATTTTCATACAACATTTTATGCACTATTTATTGTCTTCATAGTAATGGTGAACAATTAGAGATGACGTCAAATACGTTAGTCGTAAGTACCAATCCATGTGCACCGATTCCTGTCCTTGGGACTGTTTATCAGCAGAGGCACTGTGAGACATTAGGAAGGGTCCTCAAAAAATTAAAACAGAACTTCCATGTGATCCAGCATTCCCTTTTGTGGATAGATATGCAAAGGAAATGGGATTCATATATGAAAGAGATGCCTACATTCCTACGCTCATTGCAGCACTGTTCTCAATAGTCAAGACAATGGGCAGAAACATGTTTATTGACAGATAAATGGATAAACTGTGGTGCACACACACACACACACACACAAAATGGAATATCACTCAGTCATTAAAAGGAAAGAAATCTTGCCATGTACAATAGCATGGATGAAGCTGGAGGACATTGTGCTAAGTGAATGAGCCAGACAGAAAGATAAACACTGTGTCATCTTACTTATGTGCGAAATCTAAAATGACTGGGTCACAGAGGCAGCACCAGAATGGTGATTACCAGGGCAAGGGAGTATTGAGGAGATGCTGGTTAAAGGAACAAAGGTCCAAGAATGTAGGAGAATAAATTCTAGAGACTGGTGCAACACAGACAGCTAACAAGACTCTACTGCATGTTAAAATTTGCTTAGAGTCCATCTGCCCCTCCCCACCATGCAAATGGTAACTATGCTAACAGATACATAGCTGTATTAATTAGCTTGGTTACAGTAATTAGTTCACTGTATGTGTACCAAAATACTATACCCTTTAAAATCTCAATTTAAAATTTTAAATAAATTTAACAAAATGACAGTAAGATCTCTGCACTAAAAGTTATAAAAACTGTTGAGGGAAATTAAAGAAGACTTAAATAAATACAGAGAAATAATATTGTTGGGATGTCATTTCCTTCTAAATTGACCTATAAATTCAGCAAATTGGAAACAAAATCACAGTAGACATTTTGTAAAAATTGTGAGGGTTATTCTAAGAATTATATGGAAATGGGAAAATTTTATCTGAAAGGGATGCTTTACCAAAAGACTGAGTGGTCAATAAGCACAAGAAAAGATGCTAAAATCTTTTCTAAATATAATCTAAAATTAGATATTAGGGAAATAAAACGCTAATTTAAACCACAATATCTTCCACTTCACTAGGATGGATACTAGGATGTCTAAAATTGAAATGATTGACCATATCAAATGTCAGCAAGGCTATGAATGGAGCAACTGAAACTCATTCTGTGATGGCTGGGAATGTAACAAGGGGCAAACACTTTGGAAAAACACTTGGGTGGTTTCTTTAGAAGTGAAACATACAACCAGCAATTCTTTTCTTAAGCACTATTTAAGATAAATAAAAACATGTCACCGAAAAGGCTGGCACATAAATATTCATAGCTACTTTATTCATAAGAGCCAACAGCCATAAACATCCCAAATGTTCACTAATCAAATGGATCAATAAAATTAACACATTCATACAATAGAGAACTATCAATAATAAAAAACAATGCATCACTGATCCACATAACATGAAACGTGATCAAATACATCACGTTGAGCAAGAGAAGCCACACACAAAAAACTATGTGTCTTATATTCCATTTATCTCAAGTTCAAGAAGAGCCCCAAACCAATGCATCATGGTAGACATCAGAACAGGGTTGCCTGTAGGAGGGCGACTGACTGGAAGGGACCAGGAAGGAACTTTTGAGGTGATGGGAACATATCTTGATTGAGATGAGTGTCCACACTTATCAAAGCTGACTAAGTTGTACATTTATGTTCTATGCATTTAATTGTATGTCAATTTTACCACCAGGAAATAAATCTTTATGCATTTATTTATTTAGGCGGTTCTGAAGTTTGAACTCAGGGTCTTGCACTTGCTAGGCAGGTGCTTTACAACTTGAGTCATGCCTCCAGCCTGTTTTGCTTTACGTATTTATCAAATAGGGTCTCACATTTATGCCTGAGCTAACCTGGACTGCGATCCTCCTGTTATATACTTCCCACGTAGTTGGGATGACAGGTTCACACCACCTACCATGCCTAGGTTTTTACTGACTGAGACAGGGGTCTCATAAACTTCTTGCCCAAGCTAGTCTTGAACTGTGATCATACCAATCTCTGCCTCCCAAGAGGCTAGGATTACAGGTATGGGCCACCAGGCCTGGATATTTATTTGTCTTTGAGATAGGATCTTGCTAAGTAGCCCAAGCTGACTTCAAACTCTGCATCCTTCTGACTCAATCACCTGAGTGGCTTGGATTACAGGTGCACACTCAGCTTTAAGATAATATAGGTCTTTCTTTAGAGGACTTCAGAACAATCACCCTAGGGTGGAGATACTATTTTAAATTGATTTTGAACACAGAATTTCCTTAGTTACCAACTTCTTGGAGAAACTCAGAGAAAACACAGGTGAAGGCAGAGAAAACTGTAGTCATGCAGTCAGGGGTTACAAAAGTGATCCAGTGACAACACCTAAGGGCTGGCATTCATTTGCCCATCCATGCACAAATACTCAGAAGGTTCTGCTATCAGTCAGGCACTGATGTACAGTGGTGAATGAGAGAAAAAGGCCTTATTTTACTGAGCCTACCCTTCCTAAGAAGACAGAGGAGGAGACCATAGAAAAAGACATGGAGATTATAGACTGTGATACGTGTAATGAAGGGTGTGCACAAGCATATGTGACTGGAAGTCAATAAAGGGGTGGGGAGGACCTAAAATAGTAAGGAGTAATCAGGGAGGGCCTCTCAGCAGTGATCTTTGATTTGTATCATCATGGGGCAAAGAGCAAATGCAAGAGCACTGTAGGCAGACAGAAGAGGCAGTGTGAAGGTCCCGTGCATGAAGGACCGTGATGTGTCTGAAGAAATGAAAGAGAATCAGTGTCATTTGTGCTTAATGAGCAGGGAGAAGAGAGTGGAATGGGTTGGGTTGGTCAGCTGGGTGGGGGTCAGCACATGAAAGGCAGGAAGGACCATGGCTGACAGTCTAAGACAAAGTCTAAGGCTTTTTAGCAGGTGGGTGATATCATTTGCTCCTGAGGAAGTTAGATAGGAGTGAGGACAAAGCCAGAGAAAAGAGATCAGTTAGGAACCCACTGCAATGGTGCTGGCCAGAGCTGGCGGTGACATGGACCAGAGTGCCAGCAGCAGAGATGGCTGTACTGTAGAGGCGGAACTCATAGAACTGCTGATGCTTTCGACGGGAAGAATGAGGAAAGGGAAGTATGGGCAGACAGTGATGCTATTTACCAAGAAGGGGAATTCTCGGTCAGAACAAGTCAAGGGGGAAATCAAGAGTTGCATTTTAAGATGCTTATGTACTCAGCAAGTGGAAATGCCAAGGAGGCAGCCAGGCACATGAACCTGAGGCTCAGGAGAAAGGACAAGGGTCATCATCACACAGATGCTTTTGACACCAGCTGGCCAAGGAACTCTGCCAGGAAAGAGTGTCTCAGAGTAAAAAGAATCTGGACCAGGATGGAGCTGGGTATCAACATTCAGAACTGCTCTTCTGACAAAGGAGGTGCAATGAAGAGGGAAGAAAGCCAGGTCACTGTTCCCCAAAGGCCACTGCTGTGTTCTCAAGGCCTTAAACCACCTTGGACACACACCAGACTCTCCTAAACATTTGACAAATGCACGAAGAGAGGAAGGAAGGCGACCTTGCCAAATATGGCTGAAAGAGGCAATCAGAGGAATGGCCAGCTTTAGGGGCACCACAAACATCAGTGGCATTGTTGACAAAAGCCATGTTGGAGGAGGGTGGGAACAGAGCCAAGGCAATCTCATTTGGACTGAAGTCAAGATGACCATGGAATGTCAATTCAGCCACAATCCCACAGTGACTCACAAACTTCCTGCCACAGTGCCCCGTGACCAATCTACTTTCTTGCCATCCAACCCCACTGAGGTCTGCACCCTAGTGATTCTGTAAGTGTAGACCTGCCAAGCCAGCAAGGCCACAGCTGCCCCGGCAGATGTGAGCAGGGCTCCAGCTGCCTGGGCGTGGGGATTCTGGTCACGTGGCCAACTGAGCCATCTACACATTTGGAGATCACTCACCCACCTTGGAACCCTAACCAGGAGCTCTCACACCTGTGACTCCCACCTGCCTTCCCATCTACCTGGTCCCCTGACCTCAGCTGCTACACTTGGCTTTCATCCTTCTCTAACCTCCCACTGGTGGCTTGCGGCGGTGCCTACCAAGCACTTTATCTCTTCTACTGCTAGAGAAAGAGCAAATTAATGAACAAATAAGCACAATGCTAGGACTTACCAGGAACAGTTAGAATGGAGGGGGACTTTTTGGGCTTTTCATTAACACGGCTGCTGTTTTGAATCCAGAAGATGTTGACGGGCTCAGGTGGACCCACGGCCTGACAGGTGAGGTTGAAGGCTGTGTTCCTGGTAACGTTCATGCTCTCGGGCTGCTTAGTAAAGTGAGGGAGTCCTGCAGAGAAAAAGGTTGACCAAAGCCTGCCTCAGATCCTCAACCAGCATCAGAGCCCTGGGTGGGAGTGTTGGGGGGGGAGAGGTCAGTGGGATGGAAGGTGACCAGTAAAAGACAACAGGAGATTTCTTTAGGTAGCACTTGGCATCTGAAATGGCCTTTTCCACCTCCCTGAAGTTGAGTAAGAAAGTGCACAAGCTCATCCCTACCAGTTCACCTTTTTAGGACACTTTCCCAAAGACAAAAGGGTGATTCAGAACTGGTTCTGCCAGAGGGGAGTCTACAGACAGTTCTTAAATCAGGTGTCCTTCACAGGCTGGGACTGGTTGACAGGTTGACAGGTTTTCAGTATTCATCAAAACAAACACAAGAGTGAAAACAAAGATACATTGTTAATACATCTGCCTGGTTTTGTTTTGTTTTGTTTGGGGGTTGAAATTAGGGCCTCATGCTTGCTAGGTGGGCAATCTACCACTTGATCCCTGTCCTCAGTCTTTTTTTTTTTTTTTTTTGATAGGATCTCCCTTTATGCCCAGGTCAGCCAGAACCACAATCTTATTTTTACTACCCTGTGTAGTTGGGATGACAGGCAAGTACCAACATGACCAGCCACTGGTTGAGATGGGGTCTCTCAAACATTTTGCCTGGACTGGACTTAAACCACAGTTCTCCTAATCTCTGCTTCCCAAATAGCTAGGGTTACAGGGTTGAGCGACTGTGACCAGCCATGGCCTAAATTTTGAAAATAATCTATGGTACGTGTAAACTTTCAGAGGAGTTATAATGGATTTTAAAATCTGTGCACTTGAGGCTGGGAGTGTAACTAAGTCGCAGAGCACGTGCTTAGCATGTGCAAGTCAGTGCACATACAGAGTACAATACTCAGTGTACATACATGCACGCTGTCACGAACACAGAAGAAACTTAACAGTTCCAGTTAACAACCCTAAGATCTCCTACTGTGATCAAGCTTTGAAGGAAGCCTGGAAATACCTCAGAGAAAGTTGGTGAGTGCTTATTTGGGGCATGTGTCCAGGATCTTAACAGGTCAAGCTCATTGTCCTCAGGCATTTGGACTGTGTTCTTTTGAGGTTGGGAACTGACAGATAGGGTTCCAGTGGGAATGATATGGGAAATATGTGTAACAGTATTCTTTTTTCCTGTTTCAAGGTTTTTCTAAGCTCTACTTGGACTTAACATGTTCTTGCCTTGGGCATTCTGGCAAGAATAAATGTCCTCTAAGTATTTTTTCCCAGATAAACAGCAAATGTAGGAGACACCCGCTCTCTGGCTGATGCTGTCATAACCCGGAGCACTAACTGTCCAAACTGGGATGGGCCCACAGCAAAGGTCCAGAAGGAACCCCTCTGAGTGCCTCCTTCCCTGTCTCTTCCCTCTCTCAATTCTCCCTTTCCTACCCTCCTTCTCCCATCCTTCCCGTTTCAGGCCTCCTGAAGCATTGGTGGGTATTAAGTTCAGATTCACAAAAGGATGGATAACATAAGAGCCTTTTTAGTTGGATGAAGAGGGTCAGGAGAAAGTAGAAAAGACAGGGAACTGGCTGGCTGGGCTGACAGGCCCTGAGGCGTGGGGAGCAACACTTAGGGTAATAACAACAGCTCTTCTGCTTGCAGTCTTTTTTGACAGGCCCTGTACTGCAGAACCTAGCATGAAAACTCCCAGACTCAGGGCGCCAAAACCAGGCTCACTGGGCCTGGTTTACCTGAGGATCAGCCCCTTACTTCTCACTCCATCAGATTCCTCAAGAGCAGAGACCAATAGCTCCTCATCTGCCACCTCACTCCCCATCCACAAACTCCCGTGTGATGTCATGACAGGTGTTGTGAGGTTCCTCTGAATTACACATGTGGGGAGCCTAAGTCCCCAAAGCAGTCCCAGACTGAGCGGTGGACCCAGTCCAGGAAACCCACTCAGCCTCCCATGTTGTACTGTCACATGTGCAAGACAGGCAAGGATGGAGCATAACAAATAAATAACCACCTGACCACGTGAATAGTATCTGATGCCAGCACTGAGAACTGGGCAATATGGTACACTTTGCTTCCTAAAAAGAAGTCTTCTGCTTTTTGTTTTTAAATTGTAAATAATTTGTGAACAAGGATAATCTTTTTTAATCTCAAACTTTAAGAACTGAACTAATTTCATTATTATTTAAAGTCTAAAAAGAGGCCCAGTGTCTTGTAAAATTTCAGCACTAATGGCTTTGCAAGGTTTGCATACAGAGTTATAAATAGGCCAAACCCTGAGTATCACAAAAAACCTCTAATACAGCCTCTGAAACAAACAGCTGTTGGGAAAGTGGACACTGGCCTGTAGACTTACCTTGTACTTCAACATAGATGGGGTCAGACACGATCTCCTCATTGTTCACTTTCGTCTTACAGATGTATGAACCATTGTCTGAGCGCTGCACACTGCTTATGCTTCAAACAAAAATACACAAAGATATTTACAGATAGGAACAGAAAATTCCTCAACTTCTTTATCTTGTGTTATGACAGGTAATTTTATGTGTCAACTTGGCCAGGCTATGGTATCCCGTTGTTCGATCAAACACCATCCACATGTTGCTGTAAAGGCATTTTTTCAGATGTCACTAACATTAAAATTTGAGGAAAGCAGATTATCCTTCTCAACTGTTGTTGAAGTCCTGACATGAAAAGACTGAGGTCGCCTGAGGAAGAGGGAATTCTGCCTCCAAACTGCTTGGAATTCGAGGTTATGACATCATCTCTTCCCTGGGTCTGCAACCATCACCCTGCTGATTTCAGGTTTGCCACAGTTCCTATTAAAGCATGAGTGAATTCCTTAATCTCATTCTCTCTCATATATATATATGTATATATATATATATATGTATCTCATACACACACACACACACACACACTCCTATTGGTTCTATTTCTCTGAAGCATCCTGACTAATGCATGTTCTACCTGTCATCTGTCACCTGTCTTGATTTATATAGTAGCCTCTACTCCAGGGGTTCGGTACTGCCCTCTCAGGCATTTTGGAAATCTGAGGAGTTGCTTTTGGCTGACAGAATGACTAAGGGGCGTCATAATATTTAAGGGCCAGGGATAACTACTCCGTATTCCAAATGACCTTCTGTGACTAGGACCCAATTTTCTATTTTGCATACACACAAAGTATTTTGCATGGTTTTAATATTCCAGGAGTGCAACCACTATGAAAATGGAAGACTATTGTTCCCTTGTGCTGTTTGAAACTTTTGGTGACTTAGCTGTCATTTCGGAAGGTTGGTTACTGGCAGCACTGTGCATTTGCTGCTGTCATGGTCACATGCTGACAAATGCTTTGGCAGGGGCACCAAGGGACAGTCTCTGGCTACTTTATTCTCTCTCTTGGGACAGCCATACCCAGCAGTCACACACTGAAGTTCACATTAGTTTATTATAAACCACCTGTGTTTTGTTTTCCTTACATTACAGTTGGAACACTGCTAGAAAATATCTGATATAGCTGGGTGAGGTGGTGCACACCTATCATCTTAGCACTTGGGAAACTGAGCTGGAAGGACCTCAAATTCGATTCCAACCTGGGCGATATAACAAGATCCCGTCTAAAAATAAAAATAAAAAAAGCCAGGCACTAGTGGCTCACACCTGTAATCCTAGCAACTTGGGAGGCTGAGATCAGGAGGATCAAGGTTTCAGCCCAACCAGGGCAAAAAGTTTGCAAGACACCATCTCACTGGGGAAAAAAGCTGGGCATGGTGGTGTGTGCCTTTCATCCCAGCTGGGACAGGAAGCCTATCTCCAAAATAATGAGAGCAAAAAGGCTGGAGGCTTGGCTTAGTGGTAGAGCACCTGCCTAGCAAGTGCAAAGCCCTGAGTTCAAACCCCAGTACTGCAGAAAGAAAGGAAAGGAAGAAAGAAAGAAAAACTTGATATGATAGACAGCTCTCTCTAAGAGGCTGACTAACCTGCTCGCCACCTTTGCAATGTGCTTACAAACAGCAAGTTACATAGCATAGGTGAAAGGTGCACTTAGCTGGGGTGGGAAGGAGAAAGGAATGAGGAACACAGTAGAAGATGCCCTACATGCAATGAAGACCAGGTCCAGGGAAAAAAGAAGTGGAAGACTCCACTTTTCTTCCTAGCGGCTTGCTTCCTCAACAGCCCATATATTTATCCCAAAGCAAAATAAAATCCCTTCTTCATCCTGCAAAGGGCTGAGGCCTAGGCTTCAAAGAGACCAGGAAGCTCCTTCCTGGCCTATGGCACAAGTAATAGTTTCATCACACATCTTAGACTATAGAAGTCAGACTGTGCCAAGGAATCTTAAGCCAACCAACCATGAAAATACAGGCCAAAACCAAAAAGGGACCATGCAGAACACCAAGGGAACAGCCCAAATGTCTCCCTTAGCCACACATGTCAGCAAGAGTTCAGAAATCATCTTGTGGGGACAGAGCCCAGGTCCAGACCCATTTCACCTACATTACCGAAAAGATTTTCACAAGACTGGAGATCCTGTGGAGCCATACTGGAGGTATGGCTCAAGTAGTAGAGTGCCTGCTTTGCAAGCACAAAGTCCTGAGTTCAAACCCCAGTAACACCAGGAAAAAAAAGTGAATAAAAAAAGTTTTCCATAAATAATTCTACTTGTTGTTTCTTAGACATGTATACCAAGGCTCCCACTAGGAAAGCAGGTTGTGGGGGGACAGGAGACAGGAGGAGTAGCTCTCCCTGGTCTCCTCCCTTCCCTGCCAAATCACATGGCTCAGACTCCGAAAGTTCAACTGGAAAAGATTCTGAGCTCAGAATAGCAAATTTAGGAGGATCAAAGAATAAAAGCAGTTCTAGAAAGAATATGGAAAGAGTGGGACTAATTCAGGAAAATGCCCCAGAACTGAAGATTTGCAACTTTTCTTAACTGGGCTCTGGGTGGACAGCACAGTAGGAGAGAAGAAAACCCAGCCAGGAGCTTCATCAGGGAATGTTGCATTTCCACAACAAAGCGAACATCACAGAAGCTTCCAGAGAGGAAATGCAGGCCATTTACGAATGAAATGGGTCTGCATCATACTTCTCAGCATAACCGCTCAGGAGCGAAGGAAAGGTATCAGGTACTTCAAAATCACAACAGAAAATTCTTTTCCCTTTTGAATTGTGTATTCAACCAAAGTACCTCAAAAGAGGTACTTTTCAGACACATGAGTTCCAGGAAGTGAGTAGAAGAAGGGTTCCATGCCAAAGAGTGGGAGGAAAAGACAGGAAAAGGGGGACCAGGACCCCAAGAGACAGAAGCAGGAACACAAGAACAGCAGGGGTCCCTGGAATGACAGCAGAGGAAGCAGCTAGGTCCAGACCCATCCAACTGAAGCAGGAGAAGGGAGGAAGCAGGACAGGCATCTCCCAGAAGCAAACCAGGCCCAACAGCTTCATCAGTGTGAGAGGAGATGCACACAGTGTTTTCCTTTATACTTCAGGGAAAGACTGGTTGATACTCAGAAAACAAAGCAACACACAGCAAGGAAACTCTCAAAAAGGCTATCCAAGAAGCAAAATATAATTACAGTATAGTACATGATTCAGCTGAAAACAGAATTTCCATAGACACACACACACACACACACACACACACACACACACACGCACACACGCAAAGTAAACCCTGGGTATTGATTTAACCACAGCTATGAGTAACGCTTTATTAAATTAGCACACCACCCTGGGGACAGGCACATACTTTACTTTTATAGGATTTGTGTGTGGATTGAATATCTCTGGAAAGATGCCTGAGATATAACCTCAACTTCCCATAGGGAGGGGGACGGGGTTGAGGTAGAGGAGTACATTTTAGGCAGTTGGAATGTTTCACTATTTGCACGCTTTAAAAAAAAAATAGTAGGGGGCTGGGGTGTGTCTCAGTGATAGAATATTTCTTAGCATGAGCCAGTCCCTGGGTTCCATCCCCAACACTGAAAAAAAATACAAAAATCTCATCAGATTTTGGTGAAATACAACCATTTGGACCAAGGAGGTTGAATGAAATGATATAGACTCAGCCAGTGTCTAGACAGGAACCACCTGGCCACAGCTGCAGAGCTGGCACTGCTGAAGCCCATCACCCCAAGGCAGCCTCAGCTGGGCTAAACCAGGACAGTCTCAAGCACACAGTGTATCTGCGTCCCTCAGCCCTGCTCCACAGGGCTGGCCTGCTGGGAGATGGCTGGTAAACCGCAGTAAGAGTCTTCTGAAAAGAAACAGACACTGTGTGAGTCTGCACGTATGAGGTACTTGGTGTAGCCAAACTCACACAGACAGATAATGGAATATAGTTCCCAGATACGGGTGGGAGAGGCAGGAGTTGGAGTTTGTGTCTCGTGTTCATAATATAGAATTTCAGTTTGGGAAGATGAAAAAGTTCTGGAATTAGTGGTGATGGCTGCACAACAGTGTCAATGAACTTAATGCCACTGTCCTACACACCCAAAAAAGGGTTAAAATGGTGAATTTCATGTTACATATAGTTTACTGCAATAAAAACATAAAAAACTGAAGAAAATTTCATAAAGAAATACAAAGACCCACTAATAAGTTTCCTGTTTTTACTTGCCACAGTTCAAATGGTGTTAATATCAGAGGATCTAATGGATAACCACATGCAAAGAACTTTGACCTAAAACAAAGTCTTTTTAAACATTTTTTTTCTGAGCCTTCTAAGTGCTGGAATTACAGGCATGTACCACTATACCCAGCCAGCTAAAAGGCAGTCTTGTGAATATGAAGCAATTCAGTGATCATCAGGCATATGTGGTTAATAATAGCTTTGCCCACTGATGGTTTGGCTAAAGAAATTATGTTTTTATTTTCTAGATTCTGTTGGTTGCTCACACATGATTACACTTTCATTGCCACCAAAAGCAGTGAGACAAAGAATAGACAACAGGCATCAGTAGAGCCAGGGAAGGCAAAGTAAGGTCTTAGCTTGGCAGAGAATCTGCAGGGACCCCTGAAAACATAGCACCTCACTGTGCCAGGACTGCTCAGAGACAGGGGGCCTCAAAGAGCACAGGGTTGGGGGGATTTGAACTACCCATTCAACTTTTTTTTTCAGTACTGGGGATCGAACCACTTGAGCCAAGCTCCTCCACCACCTCTCGATTAACCTCTTTACAAAGAAAATTTACTGAGCAAGTGAAATCCTTCCAACTTAACCACTGAACACTATGCCAGAATTTAGAGAGCCCTGGGACTCCCCAGACTAAACAGAAAACAAACAACAACTACTCTCTCCCTACATCACAAATCACCTGGTACCAAGGCTGCCAGCTTCCAAGAACCTCTATTTCTGCTTACACTTGAGAGTTGGCCTCCCCATTAGTCTGACAGCCACTGCCTTTCCAGAATGTTTTACCTATAAGGGTGCATTCCCATTAAGCTACTGGGCTTTTAACATGCAATCATGAGTGTTAATTATATCCCACAAATGATACACTCCTTTGGAGACTGTAGGGAAAGGCCTTGGCTAAGCAGTGTCCAGAGCACAAATGCAACTGTAGTACAAATGGATGTGCTACAGTTGATACTGGCTGTCCATGAGGAAGGTTACTATTCAGAGAGCCCAGGAGGAGGATCAGCCCAGTGACTCAAGTCCCACAAAAGGGGCTGGCAAATGCTCTTGAGAGAAGCAACCTGAGTCCACACAAACCAGGGCTAGACCAGGAGGGGCAGGATGCTGGTGGGACTTTCAGTCTGATCACCATGCCATCTTTTTTGTGTTTCTTCCTTTTTTTTTGCAGTGCTGTGGTTTAAACTCAGGGCCTTGCACTCTACCACTTGAGCCATACCTCAGCCCTTTTTGTTTTAGTTATTTTTCAGGTAGGATCTGTGTTTTCTGCCTGGGCTGGTGTGGACCTCAATCCTTCTCCCTGTAGCCTTCCATGTAGCTGGGAATGACAGGCCTGTGCCACCCCCAGGCTTGTTTGTTGAGATGGGCTCTTGCTAATTTTTTGCCTGAGCTGGCCCCAGACCTTGATTCTCTAGATCTTTGCCTTCTGAGTAGCTGGGATTACAGACAGAAGCCACCACACATGGCCCAAGCCATCAATTATAATGCTAGCAGACACTAGAATTTTCTACACTTATTAATGAAAGATAACTCTTGGCTCTAACAACAATATCAGACATTCATGTGAAACAGGAAAAAAAACAAAGTGAATTATTAGCACAGAATATAGACCTAGCTCAAAGGGGACAACCAAGTGGGAAGCACCATATCAGTTATTTCTTCCCATGCATGTGTCCTCAACCTTAGCATTTAAAAAATAATTTAATGCTTTCCTTTTATAATTTTATTTTCATTCTTTTACCTTTGCTTCCATTTTACAACAGCAGATTGCAGTGGCATATGATAGCCATTTCAGCATTTTGAAGTATTTATTATTTTTAATGATATGGGGAAATGTTCATAACACATGTTAATGAATTTATTATAACACATTAAAAGAATATAATGTGGTAATAATATAATGTGAATGAAATAGCATATATAGTCCTCCATGTAATAAAATCATAATTTATATCAAGATTAAATTTAGGTATGCTTAGAAAAGTTTTCTCAGGGTTGTGGAATTAAGGGCCACTATTTCATTCTTTCTACTGATTTAGCATTTTCCAAATATCTATATTAGCATTTTGAAAATTTAAGCATACACACATATTCTCACACAAACTGAGACTAAGTAGTTTTGAAACTCTTCCAGAAGCCAGGCACCTGTGGTTCACGCCTGTAATCTTAGCTACTTGGGAGGCTGAGATCAGGAGGATCACAGTTCGAGGCCAGTAGGGGCAAATAGTTCTTGAGACCCTCCCATCTCCAAAATAACCAGAGCAAAACGGACTGTAGGTATGGCTCAAGCAGGAGAGCACCTGCTTTGCAAGAGTGCAAAGAGAGCTTTGCAAGAGTGAAGCTCTGAGTTCAAACCGCAGTCCCACTAAAAAAAAAAAATGAAAAAATAAAATAAAAATATAAATCTTTCAAGGACATGCTTATACATAATGCCAAGTCTCCTTCACTCTCACCAGACTATATGGGGTTTGTACTTAAACGTCCGTGTTGAAGACACGCCCACTATGTCATGACCCTGGGCAAATCACCCTACTCACGGGACTTCAGTTTCTTCATCAAAAAGACATCACGTTTAGGGTCTTCAACACCCTTTTCTCTTTCCAAGAAACTATACAAATACTTATAATCTTAAATTACTATAATTTACTTCACCGAATCATACTCTAAAACTCCTGTGCCACCTAAGGTTGAAGAATACTATTAAGATAGATTTGATATTGTCCTGAGTGCTACCCAATTCAGGTGAGTGTTTATCATTTGTAAGATTTCTAATCACAAAACTTGCTTTAAGACTTGGCTTGGAGGTTAAAAAAAAACTTTTCTCCTTTAGAATGAGTTTTGGTATAATAATCTGAAAACGGGCAAAAGGATAAATTCTATTCTAAAGTTCCAAAATATTACCTGGGTCATCTTCTCAATTAGAAAGACTCTAAGATAAGACCTCAGCTACTCTAATTCTTAAATTGGCTCCTTGGAGCAGACCTGGGTGGCACTCACCTGGTCTAAGGTGGTGGTCATGGAAAGAAGGTCAGAGAGATGTGGCAACTGACTCTCGGGCACATGGCTGACCACACCCAGAGACAGCAGGCTGTGCTCCCACCAAGTGACACCTAAGGAGACCCATGTGTCAGCCTTTTGTTTCCTTGAATGATTCCTTACTTATTGTTACTCAATAATTTTACTTTTCTCTTCAGAAGTTATGTGTATCTAATGGTAAAACATTGTTTTCTTGGTTGAAGCAGAGGAAAAATACAGTCAAATCTCCTGAGTGGCCTCAGGCACTGGCTGAGAAGGGTGGCTTAAGAGACCCAGCCAGAGTTACATCTACCAAGGACTCACAGAAGTTTGTTCTTTGCCCTGAGGCTGAGGGGTTACCCACTAACCAAGACTAAGCTGGGAAAAAGTGGAAAAAAAAAAAAAAAAAGGTATTGACAGAGTGCACTGTGTGTGACAGGATCGTTAGGTCTGTGGTGACCGCATGGTGGTTTTCTGAAAAGGAAGCATGATTCACCAAAAGGCAGGACACAGTATGGGACAGTGCCAAGAGTCAGGTCAGAGAAAGTGAAAACATAGCAGATCAAAGAGGGCTCCACTCCAGCATGGTGGGATCACAGAGAAGAGTTTCTGCTTCTACTCTACATGGCTTGGACTTTGTTGCAAACTTTTGACAACATCAGGTCAACCCATTTCTACAATCATGTACACAAATAAGATCTGATGCAAAATACAAAACCAAAAAACCTCCAGGCTAAAAAAGTTGATCTGAGCCAGACGCTGTGACTCATAATCCTAGCTATTCAGGAGGCAAAGAATGGGAAGATTGAGGTTCGAGGTCAGCTGGGCAAAAGTTAGCAAATACCCCACCTCAGTCAATAAAGCCAGGCACAGTGACACGCAACTGTCACTCCAGTTATGAAGAAAGTGTAAACAGGAGGACCCTGGTCTAGGCCAGCCAAGGCAAAAAATGTGAGACCCTACTCAGAAAAATAACTAAAGCAAAATGGGAGGGGGGCATGGCTCAAGTGGTAGAAACTGCCAAACAAGTGTGAGGCCCTGAGTTCAAACCCTAGAATCCCTTGGCCCCCCAAAAGTCTATCTAAATAGTGGTTACTAGAGGCCAGGAAGGCAGGGAGGGTGGGTAAAGGGGGATTGGATAATGAGTACCAAACATTAGATAAACTAGATAAAAAGAATAAGTTCTAGAGCTCTGCAGCACAGTGGGATGACTATAGTTCACAATAACCTATTAAAAATTAATGACGATCTAGACAGGAGCTCAAACACTCCAACAAAAAGAAATGGTAAGGAGAGGGTAACACTAATTGCCCTGATTTAATGAGTACACTCCATATACATGTGCTGAAATATCACACTGCTCCCTATTAATAGGTTTAATTAATACATGTTAATAAGAATAAATAAATAAAAGCCACGAAACAAAAGAGAAGGAAAAAAGCAAAAAGTTAGCAAAGATACCACCTCAATCATAACCCTGGTCCCCTCCAGGTTGAGAGGGAGGAGTAGAGAATACCAAATGGTGATAAGAAGAGAAGCAGCTGTCTCCTGGGCTACAGCATCTGAAACAGGTTGGCTCGACCCTTGGGACAATGGAGTGTTGCAGCCACACATCCTGCCTTGGTTGGTCCTTGTCACCCCATAGTTCATTAACCTTTCACTTGCAAAACACAGAAGAATTTTGAGATGGTGACCCAGGTGGCTGAGAGCTGGTCTCATTTCCCCAGACCTTAGATGCATGAGGGTTACATCAGTGGCAGCAGGAAGGAGACAGGTGTTGGGGATAGGAGGAGGGCAGGGCCCACAGGGCCAATTAAAAGCTGGGAGGGTTGCACTGCTTTAGATTCCCATGCCCACCAGATGATTTTAGTATCTTCTCATACTCCTTAAAAAAAGTCACTTTTCTTTGGACTGGAAATGTAGGTCAGTGGTCTTGAGTTTAATACTCAGCACTGCAAAAAAAAAAAAAGACCAAAAATCCCCCAAAATAACAATAATGATAAAAACAAACCAAAACACTGTTTCCATTCACTGGTGGAGCTCTTGGCTCTGCCTGTTCTTGCTATTGACTTGTAGGTCAGGCGAGAAGGAGCCTATCAGCCTCAGAGGTTCTGTTACCCAACAGCTGAAGTGCCGCCAAGCTTAGTTTAAAACAAGTCAACAATACAGTCAACTATGCACCTGCACTCCAAAGGTATCAAAGTTCTTAAAGAGAAAAGCAGGATGGGTTCTTATTTGGGAGACTCTTGCTTTGGAGGCAGCACTAGCATAATGACATTTACTGTTTTGGGGATTTTTTTTTTTTTTTGGTGGCAGTTCTGGGGTTTGAACTCAGGATCTTGCACTTGCTGGACAGGTTCTCTACCACTTGAACCACATCCTCAGCCCTGCATGGGTTATTTTTGAGATAGAATCCCACCTTATTCCTGGGCCAGCCTAGACTGAGATCCTCCTATTTGTACTCCCTGAGTAAATGGGATGGCAGGTGCACCCAGCAATTCGTTGAGATACCAGGGCTGGCATCAAACCACATCCTCCCAATCTCTGACACCTTAGTAGCTAGGATTACAGGTGTGGCTTAAGTGGCAGAGCACTTGCCTAGTAAGAACAAGGCCCTGAGTTCAAACCCCGTATCACCAAAAAAGAAAAAAAGGAAGAAAGAACACATACCTAAAGGATGAAATTATTGATGTCCCTTCATCATCAGGATAGAACTGTGTAATTGAATGATGCGCTCCCAGCAGTTCCTTCCCATCTTTCCACCAAATAATACCAGTGGGTTCCTGGTACATATTAGGTACGTTGATTGAACAATTAAATTTGACGCCTTTATGTTCAGAAAGTATTATGTGTCCAACTGTGTGATTAAATGCAAGAGGCGGTAGGAGCTTTGATGCAGCAGAGGTCACCTGGGGAACAACTGTGTGTCCTGGGTGTGGTCTTCCAATCTGGACTGATGACATCAAGGTAGGCTGATATCCATTGGAGTGAAGAAAGGAAAACGGCCTGTGGTCAGCTGGCAGGCTCCGTGGGACAGGTCTCAGGAGTGGTTGGTTGGGCTTGGTTTCTCCCCCTACCTCAGCCATAGCTGTAAAACAGAACACCGAGTGTTAGCCTTTAAAACAATGGAGAGGAGTTTCAACTTCGTAAGCCACAATGAGAGAGAAACAGAGCATCCTCACGTCCTCAGAAAAATGAGCAGAATTGCTTAACACACATATCATTATATATTCTCATCCCCAAGCTTGTTCATTTGTTCACTTGCTTCCTTATAAAGGATGCTTAAGAAATAAGCAGGTGTAGTGTTGCACGTCTATAATCTCACTCAGGAGCACTTGGAAGGCTGAGGCAGGTGGATCTCAAGTTTGAGGCCAGTCTGGGCTACACAGTGAGCCCTAATCTAAAACAAAACAAAAAAAGAAAAAGAAGGAAGAGAGACAGAGAGAAAGAGAGAGAGAGAGAGAGAGAGAGAGAATACATTCTACAAAAAATATGTTTTTTGGTTGGTGGTACTGGGCTTTGAAATCAGGACCTTGTACTTGCTAGGCAGGTGCTCTACCCTTTCGGCCACACCCTTTTTGCTTTGGTTATTTTTGAGATAGGGTCTTGCTTTATGCCCAGGCCAGCCTGGACCCACAATCTACTTATTTGGCTTTCTGCTTTCTAGCTGGCATGGCAGACATGCTCCCCTGTTCCCAGTCATTGATTGGGGATGGAGTCTCACAGCTTTCTGCACGGTTGGTCTTAAACTGCAATCTTCCCAATCTCTGCCTCCATAGTAATTAGAATTACAGGCTTGAGCCACTGTGCCCTGCCAAAAAAATGTTTAATGGTGACTCATTCTAAGTCTATCATACCCAACTCAACAGGAAGGTGACAGCAAAGAAGGACATAGATCACTTTTTTAACTGTCTGCTCAGTCACAGATATGCTACAAATTTGGCCAACAGTTTTGTGCTACTGGTCACAAAGAGATGAATCTGTGACTTTTATCTCTAACAAAAATGTATGGTTGTGGTACTACCCCTTGGAGCTTCCAGCAAATGCCTGCTTGATGGAATAAATCAGGAAATGTTTTTACTTCATCTGGCCCACAAGTATTTCTAAAAATACAGGCTCACATTAGTTGTACTTTCAGCTTTTTTAAAATGGCATTTTTGGAGCATGCATTCCATGGTTGTTATTTATTTAAATATGTTGGCAGGAAGTGGTTGAGGCAGGTGAGCAAGAAAGACATAGGCCTGGCATTTTATGCCGTGGGTTAGTGACTTGGGGTACACAGAGGGGCCCCATCCCTGCCAGAGAGCTGTGCCTCCTGCCCTGCTCAGGATGTCACACTCTGCAAGCTCCTGAGTGTGTGCGTGTGCAGGGGACAGCATGGTCTGTATTTAAGGCTAAGGATTGTTGAATAACACAGACACCCAGTTAAACATGAATTTGGGGTAAATAACGAATAATTTTCAGTATCAGTACCCAGCCAAGTAGTTAACTGGCCAATGGAGAAAAGAAGCAAGAGACCTAGGGGCAGAAGGAAGGGGATCTGGGGACCTGGGAATTCTTTCCCCCTATTTTCCTCACTGCCTCATCACTCTGGACTGCACTTATCAGTCCCTCAGCTGGGGCCATTGCTCTTGCCCATCGGGATCCCTCTTAGCACAGCTCTTGTTCATTTCAGAACTGCTCCCTCCAGGCCCTTCTGCACTGGGGTCCATTCTCAGGGTTCTGCCTTTGGGAACTGCCTCCTTAGAGAGTTAGGATGAATGCCAGGTGGGTGACAAGACACTTGCTATGAGATCCTAAGAAAAGCATGAGCTTTTCCTTGGCCTGACACCTCAGTGGGTGTGAGAGTGCAGGGCACTCTGTGTGCTTTGGCAAAGGCACACTGACATGGGTCAGTCGTGGGCTGGCCTTGAGCCCAACCAGTCCACAAAGATGAAAGCTTTAGTTTATTTCAGGGAGTGGTGATCAAGGGGACTCTACGGAGGGGGCCCTTCCTCTCCTGTCACCTGCAAGCCTGCGCACCGGGCAAACCTTATTCACAAGTTGGGGCCATGCTCTGTGAAGCCCCTTGGACCCCTCCAGCTCCCCCACCTTCTTCCAGTAGGGATGCTCTTTGTAGTCACAAATTCTCTGGATGTTTCTCTCTGTCTGCAGATCCTCCCCTCGAAGGTGCTTTGTTTACTTATGTAGACTTTGAAGTCTTTATAATTCACCCCTGCCTCTTGGATGGTGCTGGGGCTCAGAAAACAAAATCCCAAAATATGCAGCTCTGGACTTCAAACTGAGACACCCTCCCACCCTCAACTCCTTCCAGGAGAAGCAAATGCCAGGCAGGACTCTCCTTTAAGTTCCCATGTCTCCCTAAGGAGGATATCCTCAAAAAGGGACACAATTGCCATCAATCTTTCTACTGCAATTTCATTAACCAAGGAAGAGTAAACTCTTCCACAGAGGAAGAGCCTGAAATTAAACCACCACATCTAGAACCCAGAGGAAATGTGTCCCAGGCCATAACCCGGGCCCATTAAAAATCACTTGCTTCCCCTCTTCACATGCCTGACCCCAGCTTCCCTCCGCCTAGAAAGAGAGTACTTAAACTTCACCCATCTGGCCCTTCTTTGAGTTTCATACTTTGAGAAAACTCCTGTGCTTATGCACAACAGTAAATTGGTATATTTTTTCTCCTGTTCATCTGTCTGGTTCAGAAGGTCTCAGCAGACTCAGTTCCCTGACCGTCAGCAGGAAGTCTGAGCTTTGCTGCAAGTGACAAGGAATGCGTCTAGCTCTTCCTAGTCACCAAGCTCCATGGGATCGAGTGAGCTTTTGTTCAAATAACTATTTTTACTTCAAGTTAAATATATGTCCCTTTCTGGAAGGCAAAAAGTGAGAGTGGGAGAGACAAATAATAGTTTCTTTAGTTTGTTTAATGTACTTAATACCATTAAAATTTTCCAATATATAAATGCAACACAAGTTTGTTGCAAAATCTTCATATATACACTGAAGCACTTACAGTACAAAATGGAAACCTGTTTTGTAATCTGAATGCTGCCACATAACTTTTTTTTTGTACAAGTTGAGGTTTAACTTTCCACTTTGTATGAGCTAAGCCACTAACTCAACAAGCTTCTGAGAGAGTGTTAGCAACAGCTAACTCACTCCCTACTCACTGGACATTCTGGATGGCTTAAAAGACAACTGATGATCACATCTGATTTGCTGGAAGTTGGGTGAATAACTGACGGCCAACAAATATTCATCTAGCACCACTTGGGCCAAGATTTGCTACGACACAGTCTAATAGGAGAAAGTAAGGCACTTACTTGTCCCAGAAGTAGAGCAGCAGAGGGTGCCAGGAGCTAAATGGGACACAGGACATCGCTAACTGGGAGAAAGGAGGCACAAGGGTTTGAATGTGTTCCCCTCAAAAGTCCAAGTGTTGGAAATTTAATCCCCAAATTCCGATGTTGATGTTATTTGGTGGGGGCAGGGGACTTTGGGAGGTAATGAGGATTAGATATGTTTGAGTGTACAGATCCTCCTGATGAAATTTATAAGAGAAAGAGGGACCCAAGCTAGCACACTTGCTTTGGCCATGTGAGGCCTCTGCCATGTTAGGAAGGAGCAAGAAGGCCCTAATCAGATGCCTCCACACCCTGGCACTTCCCAGCCTCCAGAACAGTCAGCCCAATAAACTTCTACTCTTTTTAAATACCCTGGTCTCATGTATATTGTAACAACAGAAAATGGACCTGACGGGAGGGAAGTCTGTGCTATAGTTTAAACCCTCCCTGATCACTCTAGTAGTTAGCATCCCCAAGTTAGGCGCCAGCCCCTAGGTTAGGTGCTGGGCCTCTCCCTTTGTACATCTCTTGTGATGAATTTCACTTTCACCACTGTGGTACTGAAAGCCCATGAGACCTACCACCTACACTACAGCCAGTACCTGAAGGAACTCAACACAGGTTTGTTGAATGAATAAGTGAAAGCATGGATTTGAGAAGGAATGGGAGGATAGACAGTGTTTCTAGGGAAGAGGTGGTAGGAAATTTGAGAAAAGAGATGGCCCTATTTGTTTGGGAAGAGCAATTTAGCTGTAGAGTTGTAGCCCTTCCACTAGGACAAAAATGGGAGATAAACTGAAATTAGGCTGAATGTGGAGTCAAGAATTTGACTGGAAGGGCTTGTGGTTCACACTTATAATCCCAGCACCCAGAAGACTGAGACAGGAGAATTGCAAGTCTGAAGCTAGCCTCAGCTACACAGAGAGATCTCGTCTCAAACAAAACAAAAAAACCAATAAAATAACAAAAAGAATCAGGCTGAGAAAGGAAGAATTCTTGGAAGGTTTCTGAGCAAGAGAGGAAGAATGAGGAAGAAGAGAGAGGCCAGAAGATTGGAAATCCACCTGGAAGATAATGAAGATTCAATTACTCAAGCGCTTCAAGGCAGGAAGGATGTAAGAGTCGGTGAAAAGGAGGCAATGCAACAACATCCTTACAGCACCCAGCATTTCATAAAGAAAGATCATTGTGACACCAGATGTTAAGGAAGAATGGGCTCCTGGCATAAGGGAGGAATGTTCAGCTGGTGGCACGAGGATGCATTGTTTCTTCAGGGAACACTGGGATAGTAAGAATGGTGTCCCCTAAGGCTGCCATTAGGAATAAAGGAATTATTATGTGTAGGTCATAGTAAGCACTCAATAAATGTTAGCTATTGCTCTTTTTTGCTATTTTCTTGAATTGTGAGTCATTAAAACTGCCATTGCCCAACACTTAAGAAGTGCCGATTACAGAGCCGGGTGCTGTGGCTCAAACCTGTAATCCTAGCTGCTTGGGAGTTGGAGATCAGGAAGATTGTGGTTCAAGGCCAGCATGGGCAAAAAATTCAAGAGACCCCATCTCAATAGAAAAAAAAAAAGCTAGGTATGATGGTGTACGCCTGCATTCCAGTTAGGCAGGAAAACACAAACAGGCCAGCCTGGGCATAAAGTGAGACCCTATCTCAAAACAACCAACACAAAGTGAGCTGGTGGAATGGTTCAAGTGGTAGAGCTCTTGCTTAGTAAGTGTGAGGCCCTGAGTT